CGTGTCTAGCCCGCAACACGATCGATAGTTAATCCCTCTGTTTGACACCGATCGACCCTCGAGTGGATAGTATATCAGGGATTTCGTGTCATCAACAACATTCCCATGTAATACGGCGGTGAAATGTTATCTTTATTGAATTCTAATAAAATCACGTGATCAGTAATAGTGTCAGATTTAACCAAAAAAATCACATCATATTAAATATTAAGTGCAGTTAGAATGACAAGGATTTTAAATGGATTTCCAGGCGAGAGCAGGGCAATTTCACCATACCACCACTAGGGTTGTTGTTCTTTACTGTTGTTTTAGCTCACAAGGATTATGTTCGAGAGGGTGGGGATTGCGTGAAGGAGAATCGGGGTGAAATGTTTCTTTATTTGTCCTCTAGCTTGATGTTCCTTGTCATTACTTTGGCCTTATAGATCGTATGATTAACGTGATTGATACAGAACATTCAGTGACGAGAAGGACATGCAATCAGAACAGTCAACAAATGTTGGTATCTTACATGTCCCTCAGTAAAGGGCACATACATTATCCTTTCTTTAAGGAGGCCTCAAATAACTCTAACATCTTGAGATTAAGGAAGAATAGAGCTGGCATATTCGGTTTCCTCCAAGTTTATTCATGAAACAGGCGAATTTTCCGAAATAACTTTAATTACTCCACTTATATTTTGACGCTCAAAGTTACACCTGATTTCTCAGCGCAATTATCAATTAGCGCTTCGTCCTTAAGCAAATGAACTTCGAAAAACGTGAATTTCTATAGTTAGCGTTATCAATAAATTATTGCACCAGCATAAGCTCGAAAAGCCAAATAAATAATTAAAGCAAAATACATTTACAAAAACACAATTTGTATCAATAGACATTATTAATCAGTCGACGACTCCACTCGTACTTGCCGAGTCGCGTGTCAGAAGCTATAGACTATGCACAGCGTGTCAATCGGGAATTCGAATTATCATTGCACCTTGACGAACCAATAGCGACGACCCTAACTTGTTTGAATTTCTATTGCATATATAAACACCAGACATGGACGAGAAAATGTTTTCAGCAACGACCTCCTGAGACTTTGTACGAAGCATGTTTAGAAGTTCGAAACAGGTTGCCACTTATACCTAAAAACGAAACCACCCCTACAACTCACCGATATTTACACTTTACAAGTCTATGGGTCTTGTTGCATCCTAAAAAAAGTAACTCTGTTTTACTCAAAGCGTTACTTAAAAATTAGTGATTAAAAATAACATATCAGCACGTTGAAAAGGTTCTTTCGTAAAATTATGTATTTTATATAGTTCCTTTTTTGTATGGCTGTTAATTTCTCTGCTTTTTCAGTCGTCATTTTACAAAGATAATAAATCCAGTGAAATATTTGTCATACCTTTAGAGTTGCTGATCGGGAATTGATAATAAAATATAAATCAAAAGAATGATAATAATGTTAATTACGTTTATTGTATAAATCTGCGAAATATTGAACCAACAACAAATTGAAGCTTTGCAAAACACGCCCTTATTATGTAAGGTCGCATATATGAAAGGTGCTTATCTATTTAGCTGCTGTACGAAAACATCTAAATTTAAGTGTTTTGGCATTCTGCGTAAGGAGTGGGCGTGGTCTGATCGATTTCCTGACTGTACAGTAGATAATAACTCGGACATGAACAGAGGGCAATTTGTTTGTATCCCAGGGGTAGCAGTGTACAGTAGAGGGTTGTGGCCATGGGTGTTATTTTTGTTAAATGGCTAACCCCTGTATAATGATATGTAAAAAAAATATAAAAAGAAAACTGTACTAAAATTGGTATAAGCATGATGAAGTGGGATATGTGAGCTTCACATTTGTAAAAAAGAAACAGGTACACATGAAAAGCTAGCTTTACAGGAGGTAAAATTTTGACAACAGCACACGACGCAAAATTGCAAAAAATCAAGTTTTACAACTTTACTGGGACCCAGATAATTCTGCAACCAGGTAGGTAATCTTTAATTTCAGACAGAGCTTAGGAAAAAAATTACTAGTTGCGGTGGTCAAATTTTGGGTTAAAAATAGCAATTTTTGCCATTTTTTGGTAATTTTTGATGTGTTAACCATGGTTTTCACACAAGTGACATACATAGAAAAAAGAGGTTTATACACTTCTCAGTACTTTATATGTATTGTAAATGTAATGCAGTTTACAAATATGTATACATGTGTTGTGTAGGGTAAATCCGCTGTGTTTACATTTCCTCGACATGTGCCTTGTTTATCAGAGTCGGGCCATTTCTACTGTACACTGCTACCAGGACTGTATATATATTGGAGTAGAAAGGTCTCTGTACAGATAGTAACTATTTAATGCAACAACAAAACATTTCCGGTAAATATAAGTATTTCGTTGCCACTCTGCAACTGCAAAACTATAAGCAATGGAATGGCAAGTATGTGCATTATTTTGCCTTCAGATATTTCGTTATTTCTATTTTTGTCTTACGTCAAGAATCTCCTGCAGGTAATAGACGACTATTTGGCCCCTGCCAAGACTTGACAATGCCATGCATGATTAGTGCTAATGCAATGCCACTATAAACCAATAAATATTGTCATTATATACGAACGTGTTTCTTACGAATGCTTTACTTTGTAAATACTCATGAAACGAATATATTGTTTTCCCTGTTGAAATACCTGTCGTTTATTTCTTTTCTCTACTTTGATCTCTGAGTCTCTTTTGATCACCTTTTGATTTACATGTTCGGGGAAGAAATTGACCTGCAGTTTCCCACTGCATTGTCGTATGCGGCGACTAATATTGTCACCTCTACCCAATCTGGAGTGTTGTGCTTTATCTCCTACTTAGGAGACACGGACAAACCAAATAGAAGCAGTAGATATTTTTTCTTCCGCATACTGTCTACTCGTTATTCCGCATACTGTCTACTCGTTATTCCGCATACTGTCTACTCGTTATTCCGTTGGTGCCTTCTTTTGAATCCCTAATAAGCCTGTTGTCAGTTTTATGTGATAGAATGGAAATTATGCTTTCTTGTCCAAGGTAGGATATTTCAGTGTTAGGCAATTTAGAGTCGATTTTGATCAGTCGTGGACACCGTGTTCATATAAGCAGCTTATTGTTTCTGTACTATATTGATATCTTTACATGATGTCTCTCGCCTAGATGCATTAAGTCGATGTAAAACCCCAAACCAGTAGGTGATACGAGGAAACCTCGTGCCACAGATCAATCGCTCGTAATAATGATGTTTACAGTGTTATTTGTACTGTAGCTTAACACTAAATGTGGTGATAAACTAGGTTATCCCGGTATTTTGTCGCCGAGAACCGTGAACATAGAATCAGGTTACGGCGCTCACCCTTGACATTCGTTTGTTTCGTTGTTTCTGATTGTGAGAAAGTGTCAAAAATAGAATGAAGCTGTTTCATGCTGTTCTCCCACGTTATAACCTACAAGAATGCTTACTATGCACAAACTGCATTTTACGAGTTTATTATTGTGTTGCGCGCATCTTAACATTCGTGTAGGTTTATGTTCTATCATAGCATAGTGAAAAAGGAGATACGTTATGGATATAAGCAATAGTAAGTAATGATGTTTATTCTTTTGTTAACCAGTACTTGTTTAAATTTTGTTATTCATAAATAAAGGGGTTAACGAACCTCCAACTTCTATTTCAACAGTAGTTTAGACCAATTTATATTTCCAGCTATTCGGCCTCTAGCAACATCGATGAGTCCCAGAAGGACGCAGCAGCTGTACGATGCAGTGTAATTTATTTTGGAATACTGTGACTATTAACAAATTTTAAAGGTACTATAACCAGTTTGTGTGTTATGTTAATTCTATGTATTTTCCAAAATTAATTTGGTGATAAATAAAAAGTAATTTACTTGTTATCAAAATTAAAGGAAATATTTTGCATGTGGATTTAGTTGTATGGAAAGTTTGACATGAAGAGTATAAGTGATAATGTAGAATTCCATTTTAATTCGATTTGGCGAGTTGAGATTCTAAAAAGAAAAAATGCGACAATTATACATATTTTGCTTATTATCTCTTATAAACGTTATGTTTATCAGTATGATGTACTGTAAGCGAACTTACTTTAGCGCATTCAAAGTTTAGCGCATTGTCGAATTTTAACAGATTAGCGCATTGATGAAAGAAAAGCATGCTATAGATAACAATATACAGAAATATTCAGTCATAATTGAGCGCTAAAATTAAGTCACCGCTAAAATATGTACGTTGATATAGATTATTATCGAATGAACAGTACCTTAAACACTCAAGAATGTTTTTGACATTTATGTCATTTTGCTTCATTTCCCCTGTCACTCAACCTCATGTCTTGTAGGGAGGTCTGTTTTGCCTATCGATAGAAATACTGAATGATTCCGCCTACATATGTATGTATCAACGTATGGTCAGATACTGCAGGAAGTTGAGATGGGTGCAGGATAGTCAACCAACCTTAAGTGTTGTCAATGCAATAAAAATAAAGATGAGTTCGTGTGCTAATATTGGTCCCAGTGGCGTTTAGCTAAAACGCGACCAAACTCGGCAATAGAAACGATATTTCTCATAAAATATTAACTTCTTGCAAATGGAAATTAGAAACAAATTACCTCCCTTTGACGTTAAAGCTTGAAAAACCGGGATCCGTCCATTCAAAGTCCTATCAGCAGACATAAAGGCAAGTAAACACAAACACTACAATTCTTTAAAAGGTTTAGCTCGTGTGCTCATATTGGTCCCAGTGGCGTTTAGCTAAAATGAGACCAATTTTGTTTTATATTTTTGTTTTTGTCAAAATACAATGTTGTTAATGCAATTAACAGCACAGCAAGAGAAGCAAGTATACAAACTGACGAGAATACCAGCTTTCTGTAAACGGTTGCTATGCGAACGTCCGGAGTCGGCTGTCCCAGGCACCTCCTACACAATTCCAGCTATTCTGGTAAACCTATTGTCTTTGTTTCAGGTTTCGCATGCCAGCAGCAGACTCCATGCCGCGCGTGATTCCCGCCAAAGAGATTAGCAGCGCCTGCAGACGACAGCGTGTGCATGGTAAAAAGCTGAATTTAGACACTCTTCGGTGAATGTTATAGAAAAGCATACAGGTAATTATTATCGATGTCCTGGAGCTTTGATGAGAAGTACAATGACACCTAATTTAAACAAATCCAGAAGCATGTATGTAGGAAAACAAACTGGTAGTGTTCGATTAAAGCAGGTGTCATTGTCTATCAGCATTCATTATGAAGTTTAATGTTTTGTCTTATCGGCATAGCCAAATATCGACACCACGACATTTGGACACTTGATATTGACCTTTACAAGGGATTTATTCTGCTTTATTTCCAAACACAAGTTTGTAGTTGGCGGTAGTTTCCTTGGACGGAAGTTGGGGCGACAAATTGGGGGGGGGGGGCGATTTTCAGGAATCGGAGATAGTTTTGCTGGCAAACTGATGTATTTCAGAATTCCAAAGACCTCTTGTTTTTAATTTAAGAACGCTGAAGCCTTACCATCGCTTACGGTAAGGTAAATTCGTCCCATTAAAAAGGAGGCTAATGGTTTATTTTAAACAACAATACCGTCATCAAAGTGCAGAGTAGATAGAACGTGGTGAATAATGAAAAAAATTAGTCGACTTCCTAAGGTGTTTTCTCTAGATTGTTTTCAAAGATTTAATCTTAAAACGCATTCGTGTCTCTTACTTTAATCAAGTAGACAGTTGTTTTCAATTACATTTGCGATTAATCTTCCGTTCTCGCTGATGACATAAACTGAATTGAGAAAGTAGTTTTCTTTCTCAATAGTTTTCGGCGTTAATTGGATGTTTGATTGACCAATGAAGCGCACATATTCATTGATGTGAAATGTTTCTATAAAATTCTCAAGCGCGTTCAGTTCAATTGTACGCCAGTGTGCGTTTGTTATTGTGCTTGTCAAATATAACTCATTTTGCTTGAATCATAAAATCCACTTGATTGATATTACGTAATATCTAGATGTTTAACTGTTGATATCAAAGGTTTAAGTATTCAGTATTAATCATTGTAAACTGATTTTGTTGCTAAAATGTGATTCCAACTAGCCAAACCTCACTTTTATAGGAATTCTTGAAATTTCTATAATAAAATATTAAGTCCATTTAGTGATCATTTCATTTTAAAATCACGATCTAATTATACCACTACACAATAACTCATAGATCTTCACCTTAGTATATCATGGGCTCTCGAAACAAACACGGAAATACCTTTGCCGACCGTGATAAAACTTAGGTTAAAGGATTTTTTTCATAAAACAGAAAGAAGCGTGTAGTTTTGAAATAAATAACTCCAATCTTGTCTTGAGAATTTTGTATCATAGCTGGAGTACGACAAGGTTATCAACTCAAATGTTTAGTTGACATTGATAAATCAAATACACCACTATCTATAAGAAAAATATTTGCTGATGAAGCTGCTGCCTTTTCCCATTTTTTTTATACATTTGAATACAGTAGAAGCTGTGATAAATTACAACAACAAAGTCCATTGTCTATAATTAGATACCTACAGCAACACACAAATATTTACCCGATATCGACATTTTCTGTGTGACGGTTCTTAATATCAATAGCTACATTGAATACACATCAAGATGAAATAGTTTTGAAATGTTCAAAAAATGTCTCCAATTTAAGAAAAGTGATGGTCATTTATTCAGAAATGTCATTTGAACATCTTTACCTCGGGTCTATAAGGCAGCTCGAACAATACGCTTACCAAGTTCGGAACAATTCTAATAAACCATGTTCAGTAAATATAGAAAATACTAAGCAGGTCACATTACTATGACTAACATTCGATATTGTGACGATATGTAGTTAAAACTGTATTGATTTTAACCCAACAAATACTCCCAACTTTAAAACATTTTAAGGGAGGGTATCAGCTTGATAGACCCTTCACTTTAACAGTAGAACTGCGAAGTTGGTTGGCTAATGTCAAAGGCAAGTGTGAGCATGAATGTCGTCACAACACATTCTACGTCATTTCATTATGACGTCAATCACGTTGACATGTGCATTTGGGAATTGCTACACATGCACGTCGCCGTCCCACAGTTGAATGAAATTGCCTATACACGTATGTGATCCGTTTTATATGTCTATGCTAAAACTACAAATTGCGTGTTTATTATAAATCACTAGAGGAGAGTTGTCCTAGAAGACATTATATGAACCCAGCTTCGCGTATTCACCTATCAAAGTAAATATCTCAACATCTATATCTTCCAATTATTTTCTCAATATATATTCATCTGACAAGTCGCACTGTGCCCCTTAACTACACACACGACATCATGTTTTGGTTTTCTGTGGGTTTAAAAGTACTTGTCTTTTTTCTGTTCTTGTCATTTCTGAAGTCTGAAAACATGAAATATTCACGACACGGCGCCGTTTGCTGCCGTGCCTGAGGTAATAATGATCGTACGCTGAAGTGTAACCTCTTGTCCCTGCCGTCCGTGACAAGAGATAGTTTTCTTTTTCTCTCATAGCTTGGCTCCTCAGGTCTATTTTGTGCAAGCATTTTTTTTTGTCAAATTTATAGGTTATTGGATGCAATGTAATTTCATATTGATGTCGGTGTTTAGTTTCCTGAATTTGCTTCGTATATACTTAACAAATTGATATATTTACAGTAAAACCTCGATATAGTGCCCACTCATTCCATTTGCCAACTTGGTTTCCCGTTGACAAATGTAAAGTCCCATTTTGCTTATTTTTTTACCTTTCCCTCAATTCATGGTCACCGTCTTTATGATGCCAAAAAGATTTACATGGCGATACCTTACTTTTGTTTTCAAAGCTGAATGTTCGCTAAGGTGAGGAAGTCAATGGGTCCACATTCCGGGACATACCAAAGTCCTTAAAAATGATACTCGTTATTCCCTGCTTAACGTTCAGCATTTAGCGAAATGGAAACAATTGGTTCACCTGGTGCAGTTTAATTAACCGGACGGAAACCTAGGCTGGGTGCCTTCGGTATGGTATTTCAGTGAGACAGCACTGTAATTTGGTTAATTAGGCATCATATACGCAATATCGAAAAGGAGGCAATAACACCAACATAGCCTGTTTCCAGCACACATAAACACATGCACTCACATTACAAAAATTGAGGCACGTCCTTAAATGACCTTAGGTGTTGATAGGACGTTAAACTATATAAAACCAAACCAAACCAAACAAACCGAAAGCTTGACACGCTAAGGATTATATATTGCAGTCAGAATTTTCGTTATGCAAAGAATATAATGAGTCAAACTGCGATAAGACCTTGCGTAAAAATTGGAACTTTGGCATAACGATAAAATCAACCTTTGCCATTGTTGTTTACTTACAACAAACGTTTAACTGTAATTGATAAACTGTCTAAGTCGCATATTAAATTGCGCCTGTCGACAACATCGTTAGTGATATGATACGTTGTCCACACATAAAAATTGGTATGAGAACGATCAGGAGGTCGTTTATAACAAATATGATCCTGAATTTCACAAACGGTTTTAATGTTTAACGAAGCCTAATTTATGGCTTGGGTTGTTGACATTGGAAATGTCAGGATACCGTGATGTGTACTGGCGTTCCTCCTTTACCTGTCAATGCGTACCGATAAAACTTCTATGGCGACAAAATTATGATGGCCTCTATATGGGTCTCCTCGTTGATTGCTTATATACTGGCGTCAGAAAATATAAATGCTAAAATGGTACGTTTTCCCTTTCACTGGTCAAGATTCTTTAACGGAAATGGGAGAGGATAGAGCAACCTATGTTGTCTCAAGCGATAACACTCATTCATATGGTTGATCCTGGTCAAGATAAATCTATCCGGAAGCCATCTGTCTTTATTACAGGAGATGCATTGCCACACCGGCGTCTAGAAAAAGCCTTTCACTTATTTACGTTCGGGACTTCCTTTGGTGGTACTACATTGATATCTGGCAATGAGGCTATATAGATGTATAGATTTTATTTAATGTTCGGGAATCCTTTGCTTTTAAGGTAAATGTCATATATTATTTGTGGTTGTGTTCGAGGCCATAGTTCATTGATGATTATGTACTGATGGCGACGAAAAGGTGAAGTTGCCGTCTTTACCTTAATGGTCATAACCGTCATTTTTAGGGTTATGATCGGGTGCCTTGAGGAATATAAGCGTTCTTAGTATGGTTGACAAATCTTCAGATTAAAGGGTAATCAATTGTATGATGAATTCCTTTACTTTACCCATCATACATAGCGGAAATGGTAGCGGACAGAGCAATCTGTAATGTCTCTTACGATAGATAACACTGAGTAATATCTTCTTGATAAAACTTACTTAGGAGTCATTTGTCTCTATTACGAGAAAGGCGCTGCCAAGCCGGAATCTGAAATTGCGCTTGCGACATCCTGTCCTATTACATCTGACCACCTATAGCGATTGCGGTCATTCATACATTGTTTTAATTAATTTTGGAAAATTGTTCGCTTTTCATGCAAATAATTTATTTAAATCACTTAACTGATGTTATATCGATTTTTTATAAAAAGACATGCATATGACGTTTGTCCGATAACTGATTTACCCAAGTTGGTGTTTGTGTATTATATCCTTGTATTCATAATCCTATTTTACAAGCGATTCACTTAATTGTTCGAATATCACATTTCAACGATTTGACTGATTGCATCTTATTAAAGCACACACATTTACAACCAGAATCCACGAATCGGATTATATTTCCATTAACTGAAATATCAATTTTCCGCGCATTATCGGTCGTCTGCAAATATTTGTTTGATAACACTTGTCTTCTGCATCCGTCGTGGGTCATTTTACGACATCTGACTTTTGTCTATCAAATCTACACAAACCGAATGAAGCTCTGATTTCCTAAACCACTAAAAATTAAAATAAACATCGGTGTTATTGCCATTTATAACCGGATTATTTGATTTGTTTTGTAATGTAGCGCAAACGTAACCTATTTTCTAAACCCGATAACATTTTTTACTGTAGAATATCGCTTTTAAAATTCATGTGATGATACTTTAATTGGAAAGTTCGATCGGTTTTGTT